CAAAGTTCTTTCTCCAGAGTGTGATAGCTTTCTACTGGATTCCCCTCTGTCTTGCGCCCTCCGTTCTCCCAAAGTTATTTCCCCAGAATTTGGTAGCTTTCTACTGGATTCCCCTCTGTCTTGCCTCCTCCATTCTCCAAAGTTCTTTCCCCAACATGTGATAGCTTTGTCCTGGATTCCCTTCTGTTCTTTCCCCAGAGTGTGGTAGCTTTGTCCTGGATTCCCCTCTGTCTTGCCCCCTCCAATCTCCCAAAGTTCTTTCCCCAGGGTGTGATAGCTTTCTCTAGATTCCTCTCTGTCTTGCCTCCTCTGATCTCCCAAAGTTCTTTCCCCAGCATTGGTAGCTTTCTACTGGATTCTCTTCTGTCGTGCCTCCTCCGTTCTCCCAAAGTTCTTTCCCCAGCATTGATAGCTTTCTACTGGATTCCTCTCTGTCCTGCCTTCCCCAATCTCCCTAATTTTGGCCCTTAATCCTCCAGTTGTCTATTTTTGGGAGGTTTTCTCCTCTCTTCCCCCCCACTTCATAGGAGTCCCAAAAAAATTTGCCGCATGGCTTGGGGGTGGTGGTCATGTGATTGAGTATGCATGAGTGATGTCAAGTTGACCATACCTGCCTGGTCACATGACTGCCAAGCCATGCCCACAAAATAGGCCACACCCACAGAATAGGTTCTAAAAAAATTGAAACCCACCACTGCATTGGAAATGGTATTTCCAATTTAATTTCCCTTTATTGATTAAAGTAGACTAAAAGTAGAGTTGATCAATGATGATCCTGGGTACCATTCCAATGTTATTTCTTAATGGGCTGAAAGAATTGCAAAACTAAATTGATCAAGAGTATTTTCTTCTCATTGAAAACAGTATGAGCCTAAATCTGCTATAATGTTAAGTTAGCCAGTTTTATTAGCTAATATCCTTATTATTATACCACTAACTTGCATATTTCTCTTTCTTACTCTTAAGGCCCTCAAATATTATTTCCTTCAAATGAAAAAAATATGAATCTTTTCTTTAAAGAATTGCCCACTGTGATTCAACTAAAGACACCTATGTTCCTGCCCTTTCCCAGACAACAACCACATATAATAATGCAATAGGAGATTCCATACTGGGGAAAAAAGGCACTGCCCTGTTCTTGCCGAAATTAAAAATAACATTACAGAAACTGCAAGGCTGCATCTACAATATCTTGGAATTAAAAGGATGTTTGATAACTTACACACACACTTTTTTTTTGTTTTCTTGACTGGGCACAAAGAAAATGACAGTGTCATGGAGAAAAAAACTGGGCAAATTAGGATTGCTATTCACCTACACTCCTAAAGACAACAATTATTCATATTAGGTAAACCTGTACAAATTCTATTCTGAATCACAGAAATTAACAACCACAACGGGAGTCTGGTAGCATTTTTTTCTAAAAGGTTTTAATAAAAGGCTGCAACTCATGAAAGCTTATGCTTTTAGTATTTTGTTAGTTAAATAAGATGTACTAGACTCCTACTTCTATGCTACCATAGATTTACACAGCATTTCTCCTGCAGTGTTTTCTAATTAATATATCTTATGGCATGAGTTCCAGTGGGTATTATTACATTTATACCAACACATAAGATATTATCTTGCACAGAAGTGCTCATTGATTACAACTTCGCACATGCTGATCTCTACCCACCCACCCTCCTCAAAAGAAGACTGGCTCAAATAAAAATCCATCTTCTTTTTTATTATACTCTTAAGATATGCCATTTTAAATTATCTTGATTTAAGGGAAGTAGACCAGAAGTGGCATTCTACCGGTTTGGACCGGTTCACTCGAACCGGTAGAGGAAATCACGTGCACACTCATATTTGCGAACCGGTAGGGAAGGTAAGTGAATACCATCCCTGAAGTAGACATATTTTCAGCTAAACATAACATGTTCAAGCTTAATGGACTATGAAAGCACATTAGGTGCAAAATGTATTGATGAAGAAATTGTTTGAGAAACTTGCGTATTTCTCAAACACATTAAAACAGAACTTCAGAGGCCAGCACAAGAACAAAGAAATAAAACCACATGAATGGAACTGAAGACCTTCCAATAGCCTTTTGGAAGTTACTGATCAATGGAAAGCTTGTGTACATTCTGCATCTCATTCAACTTCTAAATGCAGGGACCAAAAAACATGGTAGGAAAATTCAGTCCAAAGTGAACAGACAAATTAATGTCTTGGGAGCATCATGATAAATACAGATATCTCTATCATATGCTGATGAAAGGCAGTTTCTGGACAACTTCTTATGGGAGGGAGGGGGGAATCTATAGTTCATTTTGTATGAGGGAGACATATGGAAAGAAAGTTAAGATATTTCTTTTCCCTAGGACTTCAAACTTTAGGACTGATACTGTTAACATAAAATAGTCTTTTTTTTAATCTTGAAACAATAAGTTTCTTATTAGTGGTTACTTGAATAGGATCAAACTGCTTTCCAATGATTGAATTCGCACATTAAGAAAAACTCATGATTTGTTTAATCTTCATCTATAGAATACCACAATCAGCTGGGTTCTCACAAGGCAATAAGCCATGTCCAAACAAGTTACACTATGACACAAAAATTAGATCAGAGTAACAGATCCATTTAGCTATGTATTCTGTGTACTGAATAGTGGTATGTGCAATTTTAGACAGTAATCTGTTCCACCCCTGCTTGGTAATGATAGGAGTGGAGTTCACTTCTTTTTATATAAAACTAGTTGATAACCCAGCATTGCCCAGTTATTTATTTATAGGGGGGAAATGTCCAGATCAAACGTCATTTCTAATGTTGAATTTTCCCCCTTACCAGAGGGCCGCCCCACCCCCTTGTGGAGTACTGTGAAGCCATTACCATGGCAACTCCACTGCACTGTACAGTAGTAGCCATTTTAGGGCAGTACAGTAGAAGCCATTTTAAGGTACAACAGGCTGTATCTTAACAGAACACACCCCCCCCCCGGAGGAGTGTTAGGGATGTATTACCCCCCACAGTATTTCTTTCCAGAGAGTAAATCATCTGTAGTACCAAGTTTGGTTGAAATTGATCGAGGCGTTCCAGAATTATGCTGGAACACACACACACACACACACACACCCCATGATGTTAAATTGGAGATATTGGGTCTCCTTTTGATACATGAATGAATAGAATATAACATCAAAAACAAAGCATATTTATGACTAGCAGTAATTGCAGTCCTGAATATTTAGCAAAGGATAGAATTTTCATCTTTAGTTCCCATGAACCAGGTGAAAATTACAATATAGGAAGTCTTTACAACATCTAGAGCATGAAGAAGCTATATGAACTGTAGAGCGTGAAATGTTTACTATACCAGAACTCGACTGATTCTCAGAAGACAGATGGCAAACTGATGTGAAATGATGTGGTTCAGAGAATTAAAGGAAAAAGAATGAGCTGAATGCAAGAGATAGAAGAGAAAGATTCATTAGTAGATGTTACAGGGCAGACAGAACCATCAGCATTTTCATATGTAGATAATTCAGAAAGAAAGAGACAGACACATAGCGTGAATAACAAACCAGTTTAGTCAAAGTGAATTCATTTAAAATAATTTAACATTGGTCTCAAAAAAGTGTAAGCTTAGGTTTCACATTCTATAAATGAAAGATGAGAAAATGCTTTTCATGTTCTACCTATGCTACCTATAAAAATTACTATCTATATGAAATTACTACAGTATTTATACAAAAGTTCTAAAAATGAAAATTATTGCTAATAATATTAATGTTTTCTATTGTGTATCTTTTTAAAAATATCACTTTATTTTGATAAATAATAGTGTTAATGAAACATTTTTGTTCTAGAATATCGATTTACAGAATCGATATTGCTAAATGATATATAACTAAATTAGAACCTTTTCACACAATATATGCAAATCTCCTTAAGATATAATTTGAATATAGAGAATACAAAATTTCATATACATTGTTTTAGTGTTTCAGTTTACTTGGTTAGTTCATGTTATTGGGGGATGAACAATGATGATGACTTTTAAATTATAACTATACATCCATTCCTTCTATACCTTGTAAATTACAATGTGCATCATTTTCTAATTATTCTTTTCTCAAGTGTAAAGATTTAATTTAGAAAACAAATTATTAGTTCAATTTGTTGCAATACAGCAAATAGTGTCTCTCTCCCTCCCTCTCCCTCTCTCCCTCTCTCTAAATTTACTTCCACAAGTATGTATGCATGTATCTATGTATTTATTTATTTATGTTATCAATTTACAAATAATGAGTATTCCATTACATAAATCTTGAATTCTAAAAGTAGAAATAAACTAAGGGTAAAGCTAGAGAATAAATTGTTAATGTGAAGGAACAGTATTGAGAAAGTTGAACAATTAAAAACCTGCCTGTCAAGATATATATCCACATCTGTATGCATCAGTGATGGCTAACCTTTTTGTCGTTGGGTGCCAAAAGCACCAGCATGCCCACACTCATAATGCAATGCACACTAAATTTCTGAATCCTGCTTTGTTTTGTATGAACAGAGCCACTAATGGATTATGAAGATTTTTGTTCATCATTTTCAAATATAACATTATTTAGTATCTACATGAATGAATAATCCCTACAGTCCTCATTGTCATCATTAAGCGAGGATCGTGGATCATTGTAACTTCCTGCTTGCTTCCAACAATCAAAGTCAGTGAGAAAGCTGACAGCAAGTTGCAAGTCCCAGCTGCTGCCAGGTGGAAGAAGGAGTGAGAGGGTGCACAACTGGTGGGAAAGGTGTGGGAGAAACATGGCATGAGTGTGGCAAAGCTTCGAATGCTAATGCCAGATGGGGAAAGGGGTGCTGCAGGTAGGGGAAGTCCAGTGCTAGCATGATGAGGTTCAAGGAAGGTGCCTTTAAAGAGAGGTAATTCTCTGCATGCAAAGAGGTAAACTATAGGAAGCTGTGAAATGCAAGCATATCACAGCATCTATTTTCTCCAGTATTTATGGCCTTTAGAAATGTTCTCTACTAAATCATCTAAATTCAGATTACACTGACATTGAATTTAATTGCATTAAAGCTAGTTGAAAAGATAATATAGTACAATGAATTAAAACTGAAGCATTTCTCCTACTCCTCCAATAATACATCAGGAAGGAAAGCAGATTTCAGTATGATTTTCAAACTCAAAATCTTCAAGTGTGCACTTTGCATGCAGAATTTATCAAAAACAGATCATTCAAATATGGAAAATGCACCTTTACCTTTTTGTGTAATTTACTTGTATAAAAGGGGAAAAATCATAGAACTGTTGGTTTAGTGGAAATGCTTTGAAATTGGAGCCACCTATCAATTACTTATCATTTCAAATAATACTATTTGAATTACCAATTGAATACCAACTCCATAAAGTCCTCGTTTTACACTCTTGTTTCACACACATACAAACACACACACTATTTTATTTATTTATGTATAATTTATTACTTTACCTTGCAAATCATTTCCAGGACATCTCTTGCTGTGTCTCCTGGGTGGATGACAGTCAAAGCTGACTGGTTATTTGGCAGACAATACCATGATGGTGTAAAATACTCATGAACCCACATGTCAGAGTCGGGATTATGAGGATGGACAGTAGTGAGGGTTACTTCTTTTTCTCTCTGAAAAATGCCATGAAAATATTTCTGATTAAGTGGAACTCAGGTTTTCTATTAAAAACAAGCTTATTCAGCAAGAGTTATTTTCTATCGAATTAAATTATAAAATCTACTGTATTTTATTACACATGGGGAATTAGTCACCTAATGCTGAATAGAAAAACCTCCAGTTGTCAGTTTTCTTAGCAATTTTCCAGCATTTGGGAAAGGACAACTCACTTTGAAGGAACAATTCCATACATGCACTGGATTCCCAATGGGAAGTCTGTTTCTCCTAAATTCCTTGCGTATGTTGGAGTTGTGCCCCTGAAGTTAAAGCTAACATTTTCTTGTATTAATACGGTAGAAATAAATTAAGGTGATAAATACACTATGGAATTGGCTGATTTAGAATTATGAATGCCCTCTAGCAAACTGCAGCATTCATTTCAAATGCTTGCTGCTTTTGTAAGTTTAAACTAGACCCTGAGGTTACCATTTCTATCAAGTGATAGATGTATGGAATTCTCATTAGTTTTAAATGGTTCAATCTGTTAAATCCCATTTGTTCAATTAAAAATATGTCCCCTGGCCCTAAGTAATAATGTTTCAAAACCCAGTTTCAGTTATGTACATACAATACGAAAAAGGTAAAACAGAACTGTATTTACCAAAACAGAAGTCTCAGTAAACTATACATACTGATCAACTAAATAGAAAAGTAAATTAGCTGAGGTCTCTATGAAGGTTCTTCAATATGAAATGGAAAATACTCCATTCATATTTAGACTTTATGGCAGCATATCCTATGACTTGATATTTTCTGAAATATGTTATTATATGTTCAAATATGTTTAATGTTAGCATTGAAAAAATTCAGTATTTCCCATTCCTACTTAAGAAAAGAAAAGTATATTACTGGCGACATGTAATGGCACAGATAGAAAATTAATGAATGTTCTGTTGTGGGCAGAAGGAAAGGAAAATGGAATGAGGGCTCTTAACATGAAGGAACACAAGTGGAAATCAGAAGTGTCCAGGCAGCAAAGTAGTATGTGAAGGAGAATTATACTTGCTATTGATGAAAATCTCTGCATTTGGCTTTGCATGCATATCATTAATTAGGAATATAGCCCTGGTGACTGTAATAAGATATTTGACTTTTTTCTTACGAATTCTCCAGAAAAATATTACAAAAATGGTTTTTTTTCTGGTAGCTGTGAAGCTGAGGGTGTTTTGTAAGAAAAAAATAGTGGGGTATAAAAGCTCTTCACAGTTTGGAAAAGATATAGAAAAGTACCAAAAGCATGTTGGATAAATGAAGGTATATGAAGAAAAATATTTAACAACAAAAGTCAGTTCAACAAAAAATAAGATCAACCTTATAAAATGAAGGCATATATTTATCCAGAAAGGAGAAAGCTGATCAGTAGAATACTTTGTCTCGAAAACAGATGTTCACTCGAACACATGGAGAACGTGAGGTGAGAACTTAAGCGCATGTCCAGTCTTTTCTGTTTTTAAGTTAGTTTCCGTAATATTCAGGCCATACACATGAAGCGCAAGTGGACTTGTACTCTTGGAATGCAAATACAATTGCCACTATGACTGAGGATAGCTGTATTCTTGTTTAAGTGTACACCCATTCAGCTTCTCTTCAGGGTCTTTTCTGAACATGTGAATGCAGGAAAAGTGTGGGAATAGGACTGCAAACCAGTCCATTTTCTATCTACACACTCAGAAAAGTCTGAATGGGGCATAAAGTTCCCCTATGCTAGTTCCCGTAAATGCTTGTTAAATCTGAAGTGAGATCTGATCTAGCAGAGTAAATACCCAAGTCTTTATAGTCTTATATAATCTGTGGAAGAAATACTTAGTTTCGTATTTGTAAAAGGAGATGTCACCATAGATTTGAAAGCAGAATTCAATTCTGCTTCAGCTAATATCTGCCTAATATGCATGAAAATATATAGGCTTTTCATAACAGCAAGTTCTTGTCTAAATATTTTTCATGGGAAGAAGTTTCTATCTATCATTTTTAAAATAAACAAAATTCTGACTAATTCTGTGTCCACCAACTACTCCTTCAAATGCCAGTGAATATTCAGAAACTTTCATATCTCTAGCAAACAGACTTTGAACAGAGCTGTCATCATGCTTCAAGCTTTGCTTCTTCTTCACTTCCCCTTCACTTCAGATTTTCATTTCACATTATTTCACTCTGCTTCACTGTACTGGGTTCTGGGTCACAAGCTAATTGAACTCCTTTTATGTAAATTAATTATATTCTTTTTTTTTTACCTTACTTTCTTGCACAGTGTCATCAAATATTCCTTCTAAAGATTTCTTTACAGAATCAGTTCCTTCACCAAAAACCTTCAAAACACAAAAGAAATTGTGCTATTTTAAATACAGTAAGATGATGCAAATACTTGCTAAATCAGGAAACGTTTCATGTTGATAGAAGAAACGAAGAAGGGCTCAGGAGGAAAATTTGCATATCAATTATACTTGGATAAAATTAGTTTCTTAGTACAAAAATAGCTAAATTATACTGGTTACCTGGTCTTTTCAAACAAAGTACAAGATGTACTCATTCTAAACTGCAACCATTTGGAAAAAAATGAGAGTTACAAGCAAGAAACAGAAAAACATTTTTCAAGCCAGAAGTGAGGGATGCTAATAGGCAGCATTTATAAATTGTAGCCAAATATTCACTATATTATAAAGTAGTGTTTTTAAGCTAATTCTGGTCCCAAAAAGACTTTGTGTGGACACCAAGTTAAAGTATTTATCAATACTTGCAAAAAATTATTCTTCTGTTGTGTTAAAATGCTAGATCTGTAAATTGATGAAATTATATTGGGGGCAGCTCATACATATGCTTAATCCCACCCAGGCTTTTCAGCACACGGAATATGAAGTCTGAAAAAGTATCTATAAAACGACATGTCCATTCTTAGAAAAGCTAGGATACGGACTTGCTATTTTTTAGTTCAAAAGTGCAGATTCCAACTTGTTTCCCATTGGAAATTTAGATTTGAAGGCTCTTTTCTCACCTTCCCCTCTCTCTAATGGGAAAATCTGTTACATTTTGTGCTTTAATATAAAGTTTAAAAAGTTGGATTGACTAAGAATACAGCTTATTTTAATAAACCTTGGAGACTTGATTAATAATTAATCATACTTTTTTCCTGCGGAAAAGAACTGCAAAGAAACCATTATAGCTTCAAAATTACATGACCCAGGAATGGGAAATAGCCTGCATCAAGTAGATAATGGGCAACAAATTTCCACCTAATAAATCTTGATGACACAGAAAACAGACAGATTCAAAGTTTTAAAAATTATGGAGAAGGTTAAAAGACAGAATAAATACAATAATGTATTTTGTATTGTTACTTTTATGTAATATTATAGTTCATATCTGTCCTGCATCCCAACAGAAAAGAACAGAATGTAATATCAAAAGTACCATCTTCAAAGCCTCCAATTATTAAACCACCTGAGCTACCTGATTAATGCTTGGCCTCCCTTGCTTTTTCTTTGAAGCAGTGTCCAAACCCCAAAGAGAAGAAAACCGGCTTCTTCGTTTGCTTGCTGATCTTGACATTACCTGTGTTCGTCTTCTGACACCAGATTCACCTGTGCGAGCTGCCACCTACCAGCCAAAAAAACAATTCCTTAACTAAGGGATTCACAATAATGCCAAGAAATACATATCTTTACATACATATTACACAAACAATTATTTAGGATGAGACAGATGTGCTCAAAATTGGGTTTCACATACCCTCCTCCCAGTGGTGAGATTTAAAATATTTTACTACTGGTTCTGTGCGTGTGGCTTTGTGGGCGTGGTGTGACTTTGTGGGTGTGGCAGGGGAAGGATACTGTAAAATCTTCATTTCCTCCCGATCATCCGGGACTCGGAAGGCAGAGAATAGATGGGGGTGGGGCCAGTCAGAGGTGGTATTTATCGGTTCTCCGAACTACTCAAAATTTTTGCTACCAGTTCTACAGAACTGGTCAGAACCAGCTGAATACCACCTCTGACTGCTCCTGTGAAAAGAGCAATTGCATATGTGTCATAATAGCACTGCATCAGTTTTTTTAAAAGTTAAAATTTTCAAAGACCCAAACTTAATTTGGGTCTCTTTGGGGTATTTTAAGGCAATGTGAATACTGCAGCATCATCAAACAAATGCTTATCATCTTAAATTGGAGGAGTTAAGTTATACAATTTGAAGATTGCCTTGTCCAAGTGGAATCAGTCCATCCAGTGAGATGCAATTGGGAAGAGTTATTGTGGTTCCCAACCAAAGGCCTTTCATTGGGAGCCAAAATAACTCTTCCCAACTGCATCTCAATGAATGGACTGATTCCACTTCCAGGAGCACCAGATGTTAATTGCCTTCTGGAATAATATCACAAATGGCTGGTTTTTTTCTGGATGTTATTTCCCAGGAGGGAGGCTACCACAAAGAAGGGTCAACAAAGATCCAAAAGGTGATCCTTCTTTGTGGTGGCTTCATTCCTGCAGAACATCACCCAGAAAGAAGCCAGCCATTTTTATATTATCCCAGAAGGCAATTAACATCTGGTGCTCCTGGAAAACTTTTGATAGTTGAATTGTCCCTGAAGAATGGTACTAGGAAATTTCTGATTGCGATGAGTAGGATACTGTTGATTACTACCATTGTGTTGTTGCTGTGCCTTTGAATTTTTATTTGTTTCTAATTTCTATTTTAACCAAATTACTATAATAAGGACTGTAAGAGGGGGGTGGGTTTCTGCCAGTTCTAACCTCTTCTATAGAAGAGGTTCCACAAATCTAGTGCTGTTTAGAAACGGGTTCCAGCTCCCTCCCCCTGCCCGTCCACACATCATCAAGATGAAGAGTGAGAGGAGGAATTCTGTGAGTTGAGTTTGAACACCCCTGGGTTTTTTTTCTAAAGGGTTAGGGGTGCAAGGGTCTTGTAACTTGAAAGCTTTAAGACTTGAGTGCTTCAAATACCAGAGTTTCTGAGCCAACATTTTGGCTGCTAAGCAAGAGCATTGTTAAGTGAGTTTCACCACATTTTACAAGTTGGCCACTCCCACCCAGTTACATGGCCGGCAAGCTACTCCCACAAGCAGGCCACACCTACAGAAGTTGTTCTAAAAAAATTTGAAACCCCTCACTTACTGTAAGCCACGTAAGTCATTTTTAATGGAGAACATTGTAAGTCTTAGATCTGGGATGGTGAACCTATGGCACGGGTGCCACAGGTGGCACGCGGAGCCATTTGTCAGGGCATGCGAGGCGCTGCCCTGTCAGCTGGCCAGCACACATGCGCACACTGGCCAGCTGAGTTCACCCTTTTTTAAAGCCATTTTTCACCCTCCCCAGGCTCCAGAGGCTTTATAGGAGGCTGGGGTGGGTGAAAAGAGCCCCCCCCGGAGGCCCTCTGGAGGCTTCATGAGGTTCCCTGAAGCCTCCGGAGCACAAAAAAACAGCCCTATGGGCAAACCGGAAGTTCAGGAACAGACTTGCTTGGAGGGTCGTTTTAAGTGCTCCGGAGGCTTCAGGGAAGCCTCCTGAAGGTCCCTGAAACCTCCGGAGCACTCAAAACAACCCTCTGAGCAAACCGGAAATCACTTCCAGTTTGCTTGGAGGGTCGTTTTCAGTGCTCCTGAGGCTTCAAGGGAAGCCTCCTGAAGATCCCTGAAGCCTCCGAAGCGCTCAAAACAACCCTCCAAGCAAACCGGAAATCACTTCCAGTTTGCTTGGAGGGTCGTTTTCAGTGCTCCTGAGGCTTCAAGGGAAGCCTCCTGAAGATCCCTGAAGCCTCCAGAGCGCTCAAAACAACCCTCCAAGCAAACTGGAAGTCACTTCCGGTTTGCTCATAGGGTCTTTTTTTGCCTTCCGGAGGCTTCAGGGAAGCCTCCTGAAGGTCCCTGAAGCCTCCGGAGGGCCTCGGGGTGGGGAGGCTTTTTTCACCCTCCCCAGGCTCCTATAAAGCCTCTGAAGCCTGGGGAGGGCGAAAAAAAGATGTAAAAAATGGGGGGTTGCACCTATAGTGCACACATGCAGAGTGGGGGGGGGGGGGTCATGCATGGCATTATGGATGCGGCACACCCGCGCACAACCTCCCTGCGCTCTCCCCACTTACGGCACGCAAGCCAAAAAAGGTTCGCCATTGCTGTCCTAGATAAATAAATTGTCTTTTTTGAATGAATCAGAGACAAGCCACTTAGTTCAATAGGTCAATTAAAACTTTTTATGTGAGAGTTGTACTGATGCTGCTGCTTATACTGTTGGTTTTAATGGTTCTTTTCTTTTCTACAACAAGAGTTTTTCCATTGATTGATGACACTTCTATTGATCTATTGAGCTTCCAGAAACAGGAGCAGATTTTTTTTCTACTGTTTTCCCTTTCCTCCCCATTTCCCCAACCTCTGTCCGTGCAGTCTTGGAATTATAAATTTATAACACAAAAGAAAAACAGCTATTAAGGTAAAGCTATGTTAGTCAGGAATTTAGAAGAGAAAGAAACATTTGTCACAAAAAATACATTTGGCTTTTTATGGCTAGAGAAGCAGAGACCAGATGTTGCATAGCAACAGCATTCACTCTATATCAGGTGATATCTAGTTTAACAAAAAATAACCTTCATGTTAAACTCACCAGTGCATGAAAGGAGGACACTGAAAAGATTCCAAGACGACCCATTGCATCTTTAGTTGGACGACTTGCAAATGCAAGTAGTGTTTTTGGGTTTGGCAGTTCCCCTCCTTGAAGACTAGCTAAGTAACAACGATATCGAAAGAGGTCCATTTGGAACTGTTCTAAGTTTTGTTCCCAAACAAAGATCTACAACAAGACAAAATAAATTAAGAAGAAAACATATATCTTATATCACACAAACAGATCACATTTGCATGAAGAAGGAAGAATTTGATGTACTAAATGAGAACAAAGTAAATATATTTATTTTGAAAAAAGAAAAAGAGATAGAGATTCTGAGACAGGTGTTTCTTGAATGTTAATAAGAATGCAATTTAAAAAAAAGAAGAAGTGTGTTAAGTTCGTCATGCTTTCCACAGATATCCAGTTTCGATTTCTTCTTTATTGTGGCCAGATTCTTCCCTCAAAGGTTCAAAATCATTTAGAAACTGTTTTTATGCAATATCATAAGGATATGAAGACACCACTTCAATAGAAAAAGACTCTCTAGACTGTTGACATCATCAGTTTAAAGCCAATGTTTATTTATGTAAAATAAATATAATATTCAGGGGAGTATTAAATTTAACCAGTTGTAGCATCATTTGTTGCATAATCATTTCTTCACCTTGCTAATGGAAAATATTTCCAATTGGCTGGAAATCCCCATTACAGAGGTATTCCTCATTTAATGATCAATCATTCAACAATCATTCCAATTTGAATAAGCAGAACTTGCAATCGGTCCTCACATAACAGCACAGTCATGCAACCCCCTGGCATGTCTGACAATGTCAGTGGGAAAGCTGGCAGAAAGTTGCATATCATGGTCACATAAGGTTATCACTTAATGACCTTAATTTAACAACAACAATCAGGGCTGCCAAAACTGCCATCACTAAGTAGCACTTTCATGTGATTTTTTTCAACTTATGCCCTTATCACTTAATAATGGAGTTTCTAATCCCAATAAGTGTTAAATGAGGACTATCTGTATGATACAGTTTTCCCCTGGATAATATTCTGTACACATTTAGTAGTTCTAGTAACTCAGCACAGGTCAAATATGTTTACTGAATAAAAGTTTTGACATTGGTTTATTTTTGTAGAGTTTCCTTCAGGAGTTCAATATGGCATACACTGCAATTTTAAACTTACATATTAATTAGCATCCCCAGATGAACTCAAAAATGATTGTTCTCAATGAATTTATGTTTTATTTTAATCCTTAACAAAGTCAGTTTGAAAGTGATCCCTTTCATGTTGGAAATTTGTGTTTCAAAGCAGAAACCAGATTGTTACTCATTTATAAAATTCTGACATATAAATTTTGGGAAACATAGTAGAAAAGACAAGTCTAGTATTGTGTAAGAAGCACTTTAGTTCACCTGAATTTATTTTAGAGTTGCATATTGAATACATTAAAGTAAAACTACCTGATCAAGAATCGTTTTCTTTTTCTTAGAGTCTCTAACTGAAGACAAGCTGAGGAAATGCATTTCTCCCATTTTCTTCATCTTCTCATCCATATCAATCTTCTGCTCCAGTTTTTTAATTTCAGTTTTCAACAGTTTCACGGTATCTTCTTTGTGGTGTTGTCGTGCTACTGCTGTTGCACAAGCAGAATGAACTGCTGTGATCCAATTCTCTAATTCTGTTTGGCTAGAAGTCTATAAAATAGAGAGGCCAGAAGCATCTTGTTTAATATAAGCTGTTTTAAAAGATTTTGCTTCACTAAACTTTGTTGATATTCATGAATATGTTGTTTTATCACCTTCTATTTAGCATTAGAACCAAAACTAACAACTGCAGAATGTGTCATTAAAACTAAAGAATCACTTTGTTAAAGAAAGCTTCCTAGAACATCTCCAAAGGAATATTCAGTGATTTAGAGTAGCATTTTAGAGGCAGCAGGTGAATATTTATAGCATAAGTATTTGCTTTTAATAATAAAAACTAAATATAGTTCCATTAATATTACTATCATTTAGCAACTTTTTAACTGATCATAATTATTCTATAATATCTCTATAAGCTTTGCAATTAAATATGAAACAACTAATTAACAGAATAACCATATCAAGGAATAAGTGACATGAAGCTTTATTAGATTTATATGACTTTATTATATAATATGCATTTATCTCCACCATTGCTACCACAATAGATAGCAACAAATATGAAGAAGCAGGAAAAGAAGATGAAAGCAATAGAAGCACAATAGAAAATAGATTTATGAAAAAGAAACGCTTATGTCCCTGACATAGAGATAAAACAATTTACCTGTTTTAGTTCCTGGGAAGATTGAAAAATGAACAAAATTTTATTTTAAATGCCCTTAAAATATAACTCAGGACTGAACAACCACTTCTAGCTAGTGAGCTTGTTGTTCCCCCTCAGAATACTGTATATCTATTATATAAAACCCATGAGGTGAGGTGAGTGGCAAATAAAACAAACAAATAAATAAATTGGAGTTAAAATGAAGAACCAATTGCTTAGTTAATAGATTTCCATAAATTATCTGCTGGCTACTGTTTTGCAGCATATCGCTGCCATTTTTTTTAAAAAAACGAAAAGACGTATAAGATTTGAATCCTCTTTTAAAATCTTCAATTAAGCGTAAGTTCTTGTAACCCTTAACTATAATTAATTTGGATGCAGATATAGATCTTGCAATTAGATCATGTTTGTAAAAAAAGGAATAGAGGGTCTACTCATGGATCCAGTTTTAAGATCTACACACAGAGAATGTTACAAATATCTGAGATTCAAAGTCCTACCTAGAAATCTGTTAACTACATACTAATATTTATTAACCTTTTCATTACTTTTCTTTCACCTGTTTTATATTTTTTTTAAATGTTTCACTGAATAACATCTCTATTTTTAGAAACATAGCCTGTTTTCCTCCGGCTTCCTTGTTCATATCTAACATACATACTAATTTTCAGTGAACAAGCTAAATAATGGGGAAATAATAATAACAATATGATAACAGGTCCTTGGGAAGGACTCAATAGGTGGATAAAAATGTAAATTCAGTCTAAACTTCTGAGTAACCTACTATAATAACAATAATAGCTGTTTTAGGTGAATTGACATGGGATAACTATGGAAGGAGGACATAAAAACTTTCATTATCTGGAAAATGCCAGAATAATTCTGGCTGATATTAGATATAGACAACTGTAAGTGAAGTTTAAATTATAATGCTTTACTGCATCAAAGAATTCAGTTATCGGTTATGTCAGTGTTTTGACTGGTCAGTGACAGAAAGGGAATGTAACTATTATTTAAGTTGTCTCAGAATTAAGTGAAGTAGGAGCACTGAGCTATTACAAACTAAGCAGTTTGGTTTTATATTGTTCTCTCTCCAAAAGAAATGTAAAACCTTATAAAGAAATGTATGTATCTGAAACATGAGCATGTCATTTTAAGATGTCACAGGCATCTGATTAACACCAGATGTCTTTCAAATTTAATGGATCCACAGAGGCATCCATGGTAGCTGCCTGTCTGAAGAGGAAATCAGCAGGAGTATATGACACACTTGAAAGCAAGGAAGCAAAAATTGTGTCAGTGATTTGAGGTAGGTCAGGAAATAGGCACCAGAAAAACTATACAAGTGTTATTGTTATGTAGAATAACAACAGAATCTTGACAGTGTTTCTTTCTCCCTCCCTCTTATGCTTAAGAGAGTCAAGGAAGGACAAGCTTGAGTCTCTTCCTCACCTCCTCCCATCTTTTCTCTCCATAACTACTATTAGGTGCCTTGTTCAAAGTTATCTCTGAGCCCACAATAACATCTCTTCTTTGCATGTGCAATATTTTTACAGTTTTGTTTTGCATTCAGCTTCATCAACAGTTTCTGCTATATACTGAAGTCCTGAATGAGATGAAAATGGTCAAGGATCTTTATATCTGAAAGTATAAGCAATAACATCTCATGAATAAAACTTTTGTATTAACTTTATATGCTACTTGATTCCATTCATATGCTGTTGTAAATATTTGTGAATTATGTGGGCAAAGGTAGATTATTACATTTAAATTATGCATATTTTATAAATTTTTGCATAACAAATCAAAGTTGGGGAGATATAATAATATGCAGATCAATTCTATCATAATACAGTTTATATATTGTATTAGAAATTGTAATATTAGAAATTGTATTGTATTAGAAGGAAATTATGGGTAGGGAGATATATATATATATCTTCCTACCCATAATTTCTTTCCTAAATCTTAGGAGGAAGGGAAGGAAGGAAGGCCTAATAGATACACCAATGACAGAAATCACTTTATAATTAAAACAAAATATTATAATTGGCTTAGCTATAGGAGGGCCCCTATGTATTTAACAACTATGTGGCCCATTGTTTTCTAAGCTTCTTTTTGAAAACATTTTGTATCATTAGATACTTATTAGGTTGGTACATGAGGCAAATTCACTGAAACAAAAAAGAAGTAAATTCACTGAAGGACACTTTGCCTTTCACTACTAATCTTCCCTAGAATATAATAACAACAATAATCATTACTGTAATTTATTAAATATTTATGTCACATGACCGACAGTATCAGTAAAAGAAAAGTAAAGATAGTAAAAAGCGACACAAACAGAAAATAAAACCACACAATCCAAAGTGGACTTTACCCATATTACACATGACATATATTACATATTACATATATTACATATTACATATATTACATATTACACAGAAGGCAGGCAGTCTCTCAAGTAACCATGCCTTAAGCCCATAGGGTAATGAAAAAGCACTTTGAATCACACCTTGACTCATACCTGCAAGCCTGCAAGCTGGTAACTAGTGCAGCTTGCAAAGCAAAGTGTTACATGAACATCCCAAGACATGTTCATCAGTTGAAGTTTCTGGATGATCTTCAAGGGAATCCCCATTTAGAACACATTGTAGCATTAAGTAGGTCATAACTAACCGAAAGCTCCCTTTAACTAGGAAAGGTGTGACTGGCATGCCAGATGAAGCCTTGCAAAGTTCTACCTTGCAACAGCAGCCCCCTGCTCATTGAGCAGGAGCGCTGAGTTTAAGTTAAACCCTCAAATGGCATCCCAGCCTTTAATAGTGAAGTGCAAGGTTAGAGATGAAATATCTCTATATCTGGGCAGCCCAAACACTCACAGCCACTCAGTTTTGATAGGAGAGATGGCTCCATCCCATCATAATCTTTAGCCACTGGAACTGAATCTTGAAAGTACCACTTGGGTAGCCCTTGGTCAAAAGATATAATTAGGGTACCATCAGCATACTGATGATACCTAACCCCAAATCAGCAGAGGACCTCATACAATGATTTAATGTAGCTAATGAAACAGAAGAGAAAGAAAACAGAACATGAAGCATCCCACAAAGGAGGGCCTTAGGGAGCAATCTCTCCCTCACCCTCATCCTGGAACTGATTCCGGAAATAGAATGAGAACTATTATAAAATGGTTCACATGATCCCCAACCTGTGGAGCCAGTTCAGAAGGACGAACAGAGTTCAAAACTGCCAAGGATAGATATGCAGAAAATACAGGTTATGTAAAAATCAAATAGGCTGAAACCCACATGAATTAGTATCCCAACTCAATATTTCACAATCTTCAGCAATATCCAGAGATTCTTGGCAGGCGCATAAATTGAAATTGCTCACTGGATGGCAAAACAATCTTACACCTATTTTTTAATAGAAGAGTATCTCTCCACCTAAAGCAAATAAATCTTTACGGGAAAATTATTTTATGGTCTTTAGGCAATGTTTTCTTTGGTGGAAAAGATACATGTATACTTGAAAGCAAAGTTCAGGGCAGAGTTATAACCAATATCTCAAGTAGTGTTTAAAGAACTGCAGTAAAATATTTTATGGGTTCTAATGTTATGTTTCCCTATATATTAAATGTAGGTATTAAATACATGTTTTCTGCATTTCTCTTTGTGATCCAACATTACTATTATTATTATTTGGGAGGACATGAGCCCCAAATATATCACAGCATAGCCAAGGAATGCTATGATATAGTGTAGTCTTGCCCAGTTTATAAAAAGAGCCCACATTTATCTATGCTATCTATCTACACCACTTATTTATGGAACAAAACTCTGGGTGGTGAATAAAGGAGAACCCCTAAATATCATTAGTGATTATAATTTATACAGTTATAAATAATTAAGCAGGTCAATAATTAGGTGCTCTCGTCAAATGTTGAAGTATCATTCAGGGCTTTCTCTGAAGGATATGATCAAGAAGGAAATCAACAGCATCAGCAGCAACAACAACAACATGGATGAATGGAACTAACCTGAAAGAGAAATGCATCTCCAAGAGAATTGCTGAGGCAAAAAACATAATCTTTCTTTGGATGTTCAGGTACTGCTTGCACTATGCTGTTTTCCACCCAGACTGCATGTTTTGGGATGCTGTTGTGGTCTATCCCAGATCTTCCATCACTTTCATAGAAGAATAAAGTACAACCTTGAGAAAAACAGCAACTTATTAGCAATCTATGTATCTGACAAAATAATAATAAAATATAACCTTTCAGAATTATGCAATGCCAGCATTCAGAATGATGAAACAATAGAAATAATAACCAGTACGAGTGCTAATAAATAAATAAGCAAGCATGTATGTTCTGCTGTGGATCATGTAAATCTACTATTTCATTCACTTAGCCATGACCTTCAGTATGTTCTATTTCATAAATTACACAAATGTATACAATATTTGCTATTCATTCAAAAATTAGTATTCCATGTTCACCAAGCATGCTGCGCCTTCTGTGGACTGAGAGTGTTTCTCCTAAAAACTTGAATTTTTAACCAACTTAAAAATCACTCATATCTTGATTCCTCACCTTCTGTTCAGAGCTAATGCCAGTTTGGCAAAATAATGAACAGTATTACAGATTTTTCAGAGTACATCGTAATAATAATATTTCATATAACACTTAGTAATACAGGGATGCATGAAGTACAATATAGAAACTATATTACCAGTTTCAATATCTGGCCAATATGTAGCATTCCCTCAGAATAATAAGGACAATAGTAATGGTCAATTGTGGCATATTTTGGGTGTAGGAAAACATTCAACCAAAGCCCAATTTTACACCAAGCATCCTAATACTATTTTATGCAAGCTTAAATCTCTAATCTAGAGACAATCTTGCAAGCAATATATTGTTCTGTACATCTCAACAACCTGAGAAACTTGCAACCTATTAACACATTTGCTTAAAGAAACTTTTGTGCATTTGAGTTTAATCAATTGTCATGTGCAGGACTTCCGTGATTATTTAACAAATTTATGAATAAAAGAATGCTATGACTGCATTGCATTTTTGTATGCAGATAATGCTGTGTTGTTGGCTCAGGATACAAATAATTTGCAGAGAATGTTACATGCAACCAATAGTATTGGTCTGAAAATTAATATAGTTTTTGCCTGACAGGGAAAATGGAGTGAAAATTTTCAAAACATAAAACATAAAATACTGCAGCAAGTTTATTAAGATACATATTTTTTTTAAAAAAATTAAGATTTAATAGAAAGAGAGCAATGTGTTGAGAAATGACTGTCTGTGGGAAGTAAAGATGCCTCTGCTAACAGTGTACCTCTGTCCACTTTATATATGAAAGTATTGTGGATTGTATAAAAGTGTGTAACCAGTATGAAATAAGCACAGTCATATAGAGTGAATGAATGAGGATTTAACTGCAAAGCAAGATATGAAAGAAGAATAAGGAAATGGGTGGAAAGGAAGTGGAATTCTGAGAAAGTCATGTTGGATGGAGTTGATGAAATCCTCAAAAAGAAGATGAGAAACATAAAGAACAAAAGTCTTGCATGAAGCAATTATTTAAGATTTGTCATGAGTTCTTTTTTTCTTTGGAAATAAATTAAGCTGACATAGTTTGTCCTCAAAGGAGTATCTAATTGCAAAGGAATGCACAAAAGGGGATGCCACTACTAAGTAAAGGTAAAGCCACTTCATATGGGGAAAGGAATGTGAGTCAAATTTGTTATCCTAATTTTAAAATCTCCATTACACTGGCAGATTGGATAGATGAAAATAGATGAAAAACATGTGTGCATAATACTGAATGAGTCCTATATCTCTTTAATACACCTCTTGATTGTCATTAATTTTTTGGAACTAGTGCCCATTTAGCAAGGGGAAATGAAATGTATTTTCATAAATTAAACAACTTTTTTGTTTTTACCCTTCCCTGCCTTTCTATAAAGAAACCAAATAATGAGAGAACCAGCAGATATAATCACTGGTTCCTAAAGCAAAATCATTTGGGGGTAATTAGACGTGCAAAGAAGATACACACCCCTGAAACATGACATGTTCCAAGATGACTTAAAGTAAACAATGAGAATTTTCTGGAAAAAAAAGTTGTGGCCTGATCTAGCCTCACTGAAAGGGAACAAAAATTAGCATAGTATTTTAGCTAATGATCAGTTTCAAGTTAAAAAACACCTTCGATTTTTTAGTTAGGCTAGACTCTTCTAGTGTGGAAGGATACAGTTAAAGTTTATATTATTTTCAGTTGAATTTTTCAATTTAATATATATTTTCTACTTTCAAGTTAAAGTTACCAAACTTAACCCAAGACTTTAGAAATCAATTGTCAGCAAGATACAGCAATTGTTAATTTCAAAGCTTAAATACTAACTTCACTAAACCTCAGTAATCCAATCTGAGTCACACTTCAAAGTAATAACTCTTTTGTAATCATCTTTTCCCCTCTTTCTCTCCAGATGGCCGTGTTTATTTGTGTCACAATATCACATTCTTCCTGCACACTGCTTGAGTTAAAGGAATTACTGCTCTCTCCAATCCTTAACTAGCCACAGTTGATCAGTTTTTCTGGACTCAGATAGTCCTCAATATACAACAGTTCAAAGTTACAATGGCACTGAAAAAAGTGACTTATGACTGTTTTGCACAATTATGACTGTTGCAAGATCCCAGGGACATGTGATCGCTTTTTGAAACCTTCTAAAAAGCTACATCAATAGAGAAACCAAATTCACTTAACCACCATGTTACTAACTTAACAACTATGGCAAGAATGGGACAAATCTCACTCAACTGTCTTGCTTAGCAACAGAAATTTTGGGCTCAATTGCGATTGTAAGTCAAGGATTATCTGTACATACATTCAGCCTCTATAAGCTTTAGGCAGTACTTACTATAAAATAATAGAATCACCGGATTCTATTCCTTGGATCTAGCTATTAACTAGTATTTCAATGTTGATTTTTTAAAAGAATAATTTCATAGAGAAATTAGCTGCCATATCCCTTTTATTCCTTGATCTGCCTTGAGCCATATTCCATTCTGATACTCTCCCCACCACCACCTAATTCTTGTATAGGCAGCATTACAAATACAATATGGGAATTCTCTCATTTAGGCTAAGATGACTTATTCTGATATGAGCTTCTCCTAGAGTTTATTCAGTGTTCTGAGGTAAATAATAAGAATCACGTGATTTAAAACTGTGGATTGTATTCTTTCAGGCTCTTGTGATTTCTATTATCTGTTTCATCTTAAGCTACAGTTGAAAGGGTGCTCTTGGAAAGGAAAAGCAGTGGAACAAGACTGCAATTACAGATATACTGTCTATGTGAACAAAACTATCATATTTATACTACACTTGCTTAAGATATGAGAAAAAAGTAAGAGTCAGTTTTATTCAGCAATCTGAGGAAAAAACAACTGTAATCACAAGCAAAATTAGAAAAAAATTCAAGTCTAGCATATGTATTCAGAAACAATCACCACAAGTTATAAGAAGATTATTTCCAAACAAATGTGCTTTGGATTGGGATCTGATGTTAATTCACACTATTTATCATTTATCACTATATGACACTGTTTCTGCTAAAGTTAAAGGAGTTTTTTTCCAATACAAAAATTATATTTTAATCCATAAAGATATTTTAAAACTTTTTAAGGAAATAACCACTATCAGATATCAGTTTCTAACACTTGCTTTAACAGATAAAGGAAATGAATTTAAAGTGTTGATGATTTTGAAACATTTGGGTCACTCAGCATCTGTCTCACTTATATGGGCATTTCCAGTAGCCCATAATCACTCTACTGCAATTTGCAACATTTTTTGCTGGTGGCATTTACTTCCAGTTTTCCAACAAAAGATACCCATTGGAGAAAGTGGATTTGCTTAACTGCCGCCACAAAAAAATTTTGAAAAATTGGCCCTGGGCATGTGATGCCTTAACTTACAAATGCAATGACTTACAGCTGTAATTCTGGCCTTAATTCTGGTCATAAGTTGAGGACTACCTGTACTAACATAGTATGTTATCTCCAAACATGTTAAGAAAGAAAAACCCAATCACACAACAAAATACACTTTTTTGCATTTATTATGCTTGATGGTGCTTGGCAAATTAGTCATACTGCCTTTGACCAAGTCTCCCTCCAACCCTCTACACCTCAGTTACAATCCTAGTGGAATTGTCATCTCACCAAGCAAGGTGGGAAGAGCTTCAAAACAGACATGTGAAGAGCATATAATCTTTCAACACATATGTTCAGAGAAGAATATTGATCATTTCCCAAAATGAGCCTGCAAAAGGTACACCTGGTTTTAAAATGTTTACAAATAGCATGACACGCACAATGTTTCTCACAAAGAAACACACATTCTTAAATTTCAAAGCAAGCTTTCATTAAGTCTATATAATTTTAGGTGCTTCTATATTTTTGTAATGTGCAGATAAACAAAACATATTCACTGTACCTTTCAGGGAAACCCAATACTGTTTCCATTTCCTCCGTGTGGCTAACTCCACCTTCTTGTTCTTTTTATGGACAAGGAAGTTTTTCACTGCAAGAGCTCCAGCCTTCCTTACTGTTCCCTGCCCAGCTGTAAGAAGAATATCTGACTGTCCTGGAGAACTCAAAGTCCCACTGCTCTGTTCATCACTCAGGGTAGAGCCAGCCTCATCCAAATTGTCATTGGTGCTGCTCAACTCCAACTCTCGCCGAAAGTTCTCATAGACGCCCTGACGGGCCCCATCTCCAGTTGAAGAACTGCCACTGTCACTACCAGCAAAGGCTCGGCTGGTTGTTGGTGAGTAGCTGGAGTTTGTGGCATTTGAACGTCTAGAAAGGAGGTCTGTGTCTGTCGTTGCACCCTCAATTCCACTGTCAGCAAATTCACTTCCATCTCCTGTATTAACATCCTATTTAAAAATAAAAATAAAAGCGACATGAAAAAGTGCTCCAACTAAGTCTAGTTACTAAAAAAACATTATTTTTGCAGCTAAATTCATTCTTTGCTGTCTACATAGAGCAATTCCATCTAACTTAGCACTCATTATGACCACCTAGTACAGGAACCTTCATTCAAAAATCAGGAAGCATACCATTTATAGTTCTATGTAAAGTATATTTATCTTACTTGCTAGTTATTTTTTAAAAAACCTTGTTTATAAAAAATAAATAAATAAAACAGTTTAATACATTTATTAGAAACAAGTGCATTTTTAAAGTTTAGCATTTTTAACTACTGTAGATTTCAGAGAGAGAGATTTAACCGCTTGGCCTTAAGTTTTAAACTATTCATTCAGCATTTTAAATTGACTTGAAATGGTAATATAAACACAGAAAATGAAAATGGAAGCTCTTCTAGTCCTTATTGATGCTGAATTTTATGGCTGTTTTCTTGCAGTTGCTGATGAAACTCACAATCACAATAGGGGAATTACCTTAATAATGGTAATAATTATGAAGTAAATTAAAACATTTTAAAAGAGATAAATTCATCAAATTTAAGTAAAATCATATTTCATATTTATTTAAATATATTGGTGCTTCTTCCTATGTCATCAGGTAAAAGTGCTATAGAAAAGAAAATTATTAAAATAAATGCAATACAATCAAATACAAGATTCAAAATTGTTATGAATATGAAATGAAAGAATGTAAGGAAGAATTGCTAACATACAGTAAAGATTTAAGGTCCTTAGCCAAGCAGGCATCTAAATTCTAAATGCAGAATGTTCTTTACAGTTAATTGTGATTAAGGCTCATCAGTTGATCTATATATTTAAGGTCACAGCATCAAAAGAATCTACACATTCTGGGTAATACAAATGATAACATAACAAGAAAATCATGTCTTTTAGAATATATATGACAAAATAGTGTACAGGTAACTTATCTAGAGATCTTATTTTCCCCTGAAGATATAAATATGAAGGATAATAAAACAAATAATGAGACAGATTTTTTTAGTCTGGAATTGGCTCAAGTAGACTGAATCTTTCTGCCAGAGGGACTTGATGGTTCATCCCATCAATCACTGCTATTGACAAAGATTGCCTTCGGGTTTTTGGATATCTGATACAGCTTTTATGGTTATATTGCTCTGGTACAATAATCTATTTTCAACCTCCTGTACCAGGCAGCAAATTCAAAAACTATTTGCCTTAATGTGCATGTATTAATCAAACCAATACTCCCACCATACACATATAGACATCAATATATAGTGGTTAAGGTCTGGAATAAAGGTTGTAGTTAACCCTTTTGTGTAAAAGCCAGCTGAGTTTCTTTCAGCCAGTTAGTCTCTCCCAGCTTTAGCCTGAGAAGTAAAAAACCTTGATTGGGTTAGAGAAGTAAATTATGATCTATAACTTTCAATTAATAGGTTTTCATCCTGCAATGGGCTTATTTGGGAAGATAATAATGATGGTGATTTACACATATGCATATGAGTGTATGTATGAATGAGCTTAGAATTATTCAGCAGAGAAGTATTCTTTTTCAGCCTTAAATCTCCATCTCTACTCATTTCCATCTTTAGAAAGCAATCAACAGATATAAAATTAAACCAGAAGTGTAGTTTTAAACATTTCTTAAGGAACTGGATTTGTTTTTATCTCATGAATACAAATTACTAGAATATAAAACTGATAAAATATTTTATTGTGAAATAATTTTTGGATTTTATTAATATTCAACAACTGTAACATATTGATAATCTTCTTCAAATTTGAAATCATACTCATAAGAACACAAAAATTTAAGACCTTTTTTTGAGGTGGGATTAAAATCAACCTTCATATAGTAAGGATGTCTAATGCCCAACACACATTTTAGGCGCATTCTTAAATATTAAAGTTCATATATTGTATGTCTTCAGTTTGTCATGTGATTACTTTTCTCCAAAGTTAATGCATGTAAAAAAGCAGCAGTATACATTTTCATATGGCTAATTTTGTTAGTGAATTATATATTCTTACAATATAACCATAATAATGGAACGCTTGAGTTCAAAAATAAAGAGACAAATTCCCCAGCTAGAGGATCAAAGTTAATTTCTTCCCAATATGACTGAATAAACCTCGCTGTGAATAAACCAAGTGCTTGAACTGATCCTTAGGCAGAATTCCATTTGAAGTAGTGAGGAATAAACACATAAATTGCAACCAAGACATTTCTGAATCCCTGTAAAATTGTGAATCGTGTCTGGCTGATTAGGAATACATTCAAGAATAAACACTCCCTTTGCATATCCTGAAAACATTTTGGAAATCTGATATAAACAAAATAACTCAGACCCTTGGGATATCATACAAATGATTTTCACAAAGAGGCACAGAAACAGCAACATGAACTTTCAGGGCAGATTTCCATAAGTAGCAGTGGATAACTGTGGGACTGTGCTACATTCAGTGAAATTAGAGCAATCAGCTGTTCCCAAACAGTCTGAATGACCTTCAAATAGACTGTTAGGGACTAAATCTGAAAATGCAAACGGCTGCATTGTCATACTTTTCCATGCATATAAAGAGAAACAGAAACTTGGAGAATTGGAGCTTTATTTTGTTCAGTTACAGTTGTATAAAAACATGTTCTCAGTTCCTGGAAACAAATTATTTTAAATTATTGTTCCCCATCAGATACAGGTTGAAATGATAACAAAAGTTTTTAAAAGGTGTAAATAGGAGGTGGTGAATTTATTTTAACTATTTTGTGGTATCAGGATCAGAGGATTCCAGTTCTGGGACTGGACAAGTGACTGGTGATTAGCCATGAATACACTATCAGCTTTATTTCAATGTTGGGTTTATGTCAGCTTTATAGCAACACAAACCCTGGAGCTCAGGCCAAACTGTCAAACTTGATTAAAAATGAGAATCTCTCTGAGGATTATATATTTCTTGTGCTTAGTTATAAGGAAAAATGGGTCGACTTTATAAGTAATTAATTTATGATTCTATCACTAAATGACCTTTACTGGAATGATTTAAACATTTCTGGTTTAACAAAGTATAAATTCTTAAATAACATTTCTCTTCTTATTTTGATAAACAGTTTTTCAGGTGTTGATGGTTTTTTTTTTTCATTTTTCTAATAATCCAGAATATTAACAAGAGAATAGACAACTGGAGTTAGGCTATAAATATTTAAAATATAAACTAGAGACATTTTAAATTTAATTTTATAATAGAAATGGCAATTCAAAATGAATTGTGTTAGCTTACAATTTTGATAATCATGTTAGCATCAGTTCTTAGTTTCTCCCTCCAGAATTCAAAACATAATTTAGTATTGGATCATACCATATTAGAAACAAGTTTTTATACTGAACTAGTAAGCAGAAGTCCTACTTATGATTTTGTTCTGCGTTAAGGTTTTAAGTTCTAGTTTTAAATGTTAAAAATGAAAAAAGTTGAATGAGAAATATCTCCAATATTTCCAGGTATAAGACACACCAAGGTTTTGAAGAGGCAATTTTTTTTTAAAAAAGTAGGTAGGTAGATAGAGGGATAGAGAGGGAGAGAAAGAGAGAGAAATACAGTAGGTAGGAAGGGAGAGAGTAGTTAGGTAGGTAGGTAGATAAAGAGAGAGAGAGAGAGAGAGAGAAATACAGTAGATAGGTAGGGAGAGACAGAGAGAGTAGGTAGGTTGGTAGGTAGAGGGATAGAGAGAGAGAGAGAGTGAAAGAGAGAGAGAAATACAGTAGATAGGTAGGAAGAGAGAGTGTGTGTGTAGGTAAGTAGATAGAGGGATAGAGACAGAGAGAAATACAGTTAGATAGGGAGAGAGAGTAGGTAGCAGTTAGCAATAGCAGTTAGACTTATATACCGCTTCATAGGGCTTTCAGCACTCTCTAAGCGGTTTACAGAGTCAGCATATTGCCCCCACAGTCTGGGTTCTCATTTTACCCACCTCGGAAGGATGGAAGGCTGAGTCAACCCTGAACCGGTGAGATTTGAACAGCCGAACTGCAGAACTGCAGTCAGCTGAAGTAGCCTGCAGTGCTGCATTTAACCACTGCGCCACCTCGGCTCTTTATAGATAGGTAGATAGGTAGGTAGATGTTTACAGGTGTATTTATTTATCCATGTGCAGGAGAAGGAAATCGCTGACAATCTGCACACCTAAGACTTTATTTCTGCTGGCACAGCACTTGATCAATGTAATTCTTGTCAATCAGTTAAAGAGTTTGTTTGTTTGTTGTTTGTTTATTGGATTTATATGCTGCCCTTCTCCCAAAGGACTCAGGGCGGCGTACAACATTAAAAAAAACACATATTACAAAAGTTTTTTAAAAAAATTACAGAGTATCCAAAAAAACAAACCCAATTAAGATTAACAATAACATTTAAAAATTATATTAAAATTAACAATAATCAATCATTTATTTTAATTTGTTCAGAGCTTTCCAAAAGGGGAAAAAAAGTTTTTGCACTCTGCAAACCTCCCAAAAACAGCCCGTTTTTCGCATGAATAGCCTTGGGAGGGGGGGCTTGCAGAGTACACCTAGGGGGTGGGGGGACCAAAAATGAGCAAAAAATAGTCCGTTTTTCGTGAAAATGGGCTCGTTTTTTCTCAAATAAATTGCATGCATAGCCCTATGGAGGCTTATAGAGTGCTTCTGGGGGCTGGGGGGCAAAAACTAGCCTGTTTTTTTCCTCATTTCTGCCCTCCCCAGCCCCCAGGAGCTCTCTGAAAGCCTCCATAAGGGTATGCATGGCCATTTTGATGAAAGGACAGGGCTTCGGGAGGCAAAAAATGCTGTATTCGATGTATAAGATGCACCCAGCTTTTCAGCCTCTTTTTTGAGGAAAAAAGATGTGTCTTATACTCCAAAAAATATGGGTAATTAGCAGGGGGAAGGGTGATGCTAAAAACTCTCAGATTACTATCATTTGCATATAATAGAGAAAGC